AGGCTACTCCTTGTGCTATTTCTCTTGTTTCTGTCCCCATCTACCATCCTGCTCAGCACGACAAAGCATATTCAGGTTCTACCTGCATGAAAAGGGGAGAAGCATAAAAAATGCTTATAATTTAATTTGTTTGTAACCTATCAAATTAAAATGATAGAGTGAAGTTTCCTTTCATATAAATTAGGGTGGACTAGAAGTTAACACTAGATTAAATCATTCTCCCAGAATTATATTTCTTTGCCTTCCTGAGGAAGTGGAATGTTTTAGAGCTGGGAGGAATTATATGGAATTCACTCTACTGCCTATTTTATCTCTGGTGGTGCCTGTGGAGATACTATACTCACTGGTTATGGCAGAAATTACAGAATATTGTCATGATTGTAAATTGTGAATTTCCAGTGAAAAAGAGAAAGTTTCTTTTTGACAACATGGAAGTTTCTTTTTTCCTGAAACTTTGAATAAATATCTCGGGCCTGACATCATTGCCCTACATTGGGTACAATTTCCTGATGCATTTACTGTGGACAGTAATAGTTGATGATCTGATTTGGAGAAGTCATGGATTGAGAGTGGAGAGCGATTATTTCTCTGTGGCAGTCTGAGTTGTTTTACCAGTAGGATAGGTTGATGATGGTAATGGTAACACCAAGGGTCTACTACATGGACATGCATGGCTCTGCATCATCCAGTCCAGCTTTCCTATCTAACTCCATCCAGCAGTGGCTCCTCCTCACTGGTTTCATCCCTGTCAACACCTCTCTACTTTTTCACAATCTGTTCCTGTGACTAAAATGGTCTTCCTTCCTTTTCATAGCTGATGAACTCCTGATCAAATGCCATATATTCTATGAAGCTTCCCTCCAGATGATGTTGCCTGCTTCTCCCTCTTGTCCAGTAACACCTTCTGTCTACCTGTTCTGCAGCATTTCTTACACTGGGTTGGGTTTATTTGTCCATTTTTCTAATTTTTGAGTGTCTTCAGAGTTTATCCATGTCTTGCTTGTCTGTGTTTTCCCACCAACAGACACATAGACCAGGTGATTATGTTTTCCCCTCCCTAAATCTGTGGGCTGAGAAGGGTGGGGAACTTTGAATCCATCCTACAATCTCTGTTTCAGTTTGTGGTTTTCAACCAGGTTTCTGCTGTACTACTCCCACAAAAATGTTTGGAAATGTGTTGGAATACTTGTAGTTGTCACAGTGACTGGGAATGTCTGCCACTGGCATTCATTGGGCAGAGACACAGGAATGCTAGATGTTCTGCAATGCATGGGACAGGTTCCTCTCCAAATGCCTGTAGTTCTCCCATTGAGAATTACGTATCTAGGTCAAAGGGTAGAAAAGAATATGATTTAATCACACACAAAAAATGATAGAGCCCATCCACTCTTTGTATACACTATGAATAGGAGAGTCTTAGGTTCACTTAACAGATGGCTTGAAGAATAGGTTATTCCTGCCCTCTCAATCCAGGCTTATTTCCATCCTTATTGATTTCTTCCATGTCACATGGGTCCTGGTTTAGAATGCAGGACTAAGTTATTTGGAAATATAGGGTAAAAGTTTTTTCTCTCCCATGTAAAACCTCCTTGGCTAGACTTCTCTAAGGCTTGAGAAAAGAAGATGGGAATTAAAATTAAGTTCTTTGTATTTCTTTCAACAAATACAATGCGATAGTTTAATCTTAATGCTTCATCCACTGCACAGAAGGCTGAGAGTGACTAATTTCAGTGATCTTTTTAAAAATCTATTTATAGCAAGCCTTCTGGCTAAAGACACTAATACGGAAAGTGGTATATAGATTTAAATCCAGTTTTCTGTCATGAGGTGTCAGAAAAACTTAATGACTCTAATGTGGTCTTTTAGGTCTTATTTTAGGAAGTAAATCTTTTTGTTCATTGTTGACACAGATGTGACGTGGTGTGTAGGATATAGAAAGTGTGTATGGGGAAATCTTGAGAGTGCACTTCTTCAAATAAGATTCTTTGACTCTTTGCTCAAAAGGTGATAATTTTGAAAAAAGATTCCTGAAACACATGATAAACTCAATAATTCATGTGTTTTTACTGTCCAGTGTTACATGTAGCATAAAGTTTTGCTGAAAGAATTCATTAGTAGAGTCTGAAACTTGGCATTTATCAATTACTACTTGAAAATACTTTTTGAAAGATGGTGCATGTAAGAGATGCTTTTTAAAACAAAATTCTGGTTTATTCTCAGTGTATGTTTCTTTCTTTTTCAGATATCCCCAGAAGTATAAAAGCATCTACTGCTACAGCTGAGCAGTTTTTCCAGAAGTTGAGAAATAAACATGAATTTACTGTTTTGGTGACCCTGAAACAGACCCATTTAAATTCAGGAGTTATCCTATCCATTCACCACTTAGATCACAGGTAAGTGTAGCTAGTTGCTGGAGTTTCTGTTGTTTTCATTAGATATGGTTAAATGAGTACATTAAGGGTAAGTAAACAAAAGCAAGATATGATATATACAAGATTGGTTTAAAACAGTGAAAATAATTGTGCTACATTATGCAAAATCACAAACACAGTAATTGAGATCTTAAAAGCAGAAGGAGCTCCTGCTTTTCAGGTTGCTAAGAGCACACAGAAGTTACAATTTCAAAAACAAATTGGTTAATTATGAAATTCTTCATGAGATACCTTCCTTGGTATTAAAGTCAAATATAGCTTCTTAATTTGTGAATAGGTATGCACAAAAATACTATATTTTATTTCTTCAGGAAATTACCTGGCCTTAGAGCTTAAAAAAAAAACAAAAAAACTCACTGCCATCGAGTTGATTACAACTCATAGCAACCCTCTTTGTGTTTCCGAGGCAGTAAATCTTTATGGAAGTCAATTGCCCAGTCTTCCTTCTGCAGAGTGGCTGGTGGATTTGAACCACCAGGCTTCTGGTTAGCTGTCAAATGCTGTAGGCACTATGCCACCAGAACTCCAGTTAGAGCTTAATAAGTTTTATAATTGTAATCACTGGCAGATAACTTCTTTTTCAATGTGCCTCTTAGGTTGCAACAGTTACAGTTGTATTCTTTTTTTCATACAGCTGTATTCTTGAATGTTATGTCGAATAAAAATGCTTTCTTCAGTATCTTCCAGTTTCTTTTATATGTAGAAGCCTGACATATACATAGATTCTACTGATAAATAATATCAAATAGCCAAAAATGATTCCTTCTTGAAAAAATAACCACAATTCTGAGAAAGAAAGTTTGTTCATGGCCATATATTGAATACTTGTTCAATATTTGATTAGTTTTTCCATAACTAAAGACTCACAAACACTAGAAGACAAAATAGATGACTGACCTCCTAAAAATTAGACACTTATACACATCAAAATTTCACCAAAAGGGTAAAAAGAGAATCCACAGGCTGGAAAAAAGTTTTTGGCAATGAAATATCAGACAAGGGACTAATACCTAAAATTTATAGAAAACCTCCACAACAAAAAGACAAATATTCCAATTAAAAAATGGGCAGAGAACATGAACAGACAACACTTCACCAAAGAAGATATGCAAGGAGCCAGCAAACACATGAAGAAATGCTCATGATCCTTAGCCATTAGCAAGTTGTGTAACACCAGCAATGAGATATCATCTGACTCCAGCAATAATAGCAAAGTTCAAAAAAACAAAAACAGTAAATGCTACCAAGGGTGTGGAGAGACCAGAACCGTCATACATTGCTGGTGGGACTGTAAAATGGTGCAAGCACTGTGGTAAACAATATGGCATTTCCTTAAATAGGTGGAAATAAAAATACTATATGATCCAGCACTACTGGGTATATATCCTGAAGAAATAAGAGCCATGACATGAACAGATATATTCAGATCCATGTTCATCACAGCACTGTTCACAGTATCAAAAAGATAGAAACAACTTGAGTGCTTGCTCATCAGTGGAGGGATGAGTAAACAAACTATGGTACATACACATTGTGAAATATTATTCAACACTAAAGAACAATGATGAGTCTGTGAAACATCTTATAACATGGATGAATCTAGAACACATGCTGAGTGAAATTAGTCAATTACAAAAGGACATATATTCTATGAAAATAATATTGTAAAAAGTCAAGAAAAGGTTTTTACACAAAAAGATATAGTCCTTGAAGGTTACCAGGAATGGGAGGGGAAGGGAGGGTAAACCACTGACTAGAGGGTACGCATATTAACATGGGGAAGGGGAAGGCAATATATAATAAGAGGGTGGTCAGGACAAAATGATCGAGGAAAGGAAGATCCTGGAAGGAGTACAAGAGCTGAAGTCAACAGAAAAACAACAACAACAAAAATCAAACCCACTGCCATCAAGTTGATTCTGATTCATAGAGACCCCCCTTGGGTTTCCAAGGTGGTAAATCTTTATGGAAGTAGATTGCCCAGTCTTGCTTCTGTGGAGTGGCTGGTGGGTTTGAACCACCAACCTTCTGGTTAGCAGTCAAATGCCTTAGACAATGTGCTACCAGAGCTCCTTAAAGTCAACAGAGGTAAATACTAATTCATACACAATCCTGCAGTAACAGTAATAATAATCAATAATCTATGAGTGGATACATAGACACTCAAATTGAACAGGGAGGGAGGATCAGATTATACCCACAAATATATATAGGTTTGACAAAGGATATTTCTACATAAGTACACACATGCTACAAATACATCTGAATGTAGTATAACATTCAGGAGACAAAGGAAAAAAAATATTTAGGCCTTGGAAACACGATGGGGCAGTTTTACTCTGTCCTATAGGGTCTCTGTGAGTCAAAAGTGGCTCGATGTTAGTGGTTTTATTTTTTGAGGGGTTAAAATGGGAATAATTATAGTACATAAGTTTTTGTGAAGATTAAAGGGTTTATATATGTAAAGCTCTTTATACATAGAAGACCTTAATGATCCTGTGCAGCTTTGGGCAGAAGCCTCTTTTCTTGCTTTCTCTAATTAGAGGTAAGACAGCTTGGGACTTTGCACATCTATGTTAAATTCTAGAGGACAAATATATATTGAGAACAAAATAAAACAAAACTGACTTACAGAGCAAGGATTTTAATAACACTTCATCTGACTTGCTCCCAGGGTTTGAAGGTTCCCTTTTATTTCTTTTCATAGGATTGGTATAATATCTCAGGCCCTTCTCTTGAATTTCTTTCTTTCCAGGTTCTGCATTGTGTATAAGGGGAGGGTGTCATCCTAATTATATGTAACTGGTAACTGGTAACTTTGGATCTTCATGATGAAGGGAGAATGAGAGAGGGGGAGATCCCATCTCTAAGAGTTTACTAGGGCTCTTCCTCTTGGAGGGTTTCTGGTCTGAGGGACAGGCCTTGGCGTTAGGTGATTGACATCAGGTGAACTTCTTGCTCACAACACTGTGTCTCTGCCCATTTCAATCAGGTTTTTAGGCAAAATGATAGCTTATCATAGAAGAAATATTGCTCCTTTCAGGCAGCTGGTTTATTTCTGTTCATCTTTAGTTGTTGGAAGTCCCAGGTGGAGCAGACTGTTAACATGCTTGGCTGCTAACTGAAGGAGTAGACTTTTGATTCCACTCAGAGGTACTTTGGAAGAAAGGACTGGTGATACACTTCTGAAAAACTCACCACTGAAAACACTAAGGAATGCAGTTGTACTCTGCCATGTGTGGAGTCGCCAAGGGTGAATTAACTCAACCGCAGCTGGGGGTATGCCAAAAAAAACCCACTGGCATCAAGTTGAATCTGGCTCACAGCAACCCTATAGGACAGAGTAGAACTGTCCCCACAGGGTTTCCAAGGCTGTAAGTCCTACTCCACAGAAGTCCCGTGGAGTAGCTAGTAGGTTCAAACAGTCAGCATTTTGTTCACAGCTGAGTGCTTTAACCACTATGCCACCAGGGCTCCTTTCCATTTGTGGTAGTTAACTGTAATTGTTAAGAAATTCTTCCCTGTATTGTTGACACTAGATTTTTCTGTCCTGTAACTGTCTTCTCCTGCCCCATTTGTAGAGCCATGGAACTTGACAAACCTTTTTCCAAATTCGATCCCCTTTTTTATGTGATGACCACCGCCACATCATCTCTTACCCATCTTCTTTCGGGGATAACCAGTGCTAAATAACTCCATCTGTTCTTCTTGGAACTTGATTATAAGCATTGTACTATATTTATTGCCCTCATTGATATGCACCCCAGAAGGTCACTGTTCTTGTTGGTACCCAGAGTTGTACATAGAAGTCCACGCTTGTCTGACCATCACATTTTCCATCTGATGGATATTAAAATAATTTGAAAATTTTTAACACATTTAAGGATCTGAAGAATAGAAACAACTAGACCTTTGAGTGTCTTGCTGTTCCTATGACGTACATTTGTTGAGGTTATGTACAGGACATTTATATTGGCTTATTCCCATTAAAATTATATTCTATCATTACAACAATATATTATCATTGTAGAAAATTTAGAAAACTGACAAGTATAAAGAAACAGGAAAACTCATCCAAAATCATATTACCAAGAGCAGACTAATGTTGACATTCTTTCATATTTTAATCCAGTCTTTTGCCTATAAGTATAGATATTTTGTTTAATCAATTCCTTATTTTTAGATATTTAACTCATTTCATTTTTTAACATTAATAAATATATTTGTATATAAATCTTTGTGAATAGCTGTCATACATTCTAGTTATACTTGTTTTAATAGTCCGTAATTTATTGTTTTACTTACTCATTCTACCTTTGTGTCATCTATTAAATACCATATTGGATATTGTTCTGGTTACCTAGCGTCACTCTTATAGAAATGTACCACAAATGGAATGGCCTTAACAAACAGGATTTTATTCTTACAATTTGGAGGCTTTAAGTCCATGTTCAAAGTGCCAGGCTCTAGGGGCTGGGTGAAAGCCCCTCAATCTTGGGGTCCAGTTCTGCCTCCTGCTCCTGGCCCACTGGAGCTAGAGGCATTTCTTCACTCAGACAGCTGTTGGCTGCTGAGGCTGAGAAGCCTCAAGGTTGACAAGTAAAAAGGCACAGTCCTGATGTTACCAATCCACACGGCAGGCCATTAACTTAAGTCCACTGTAAGTCCCAAGGTCGGCAGAGCATGGCAAGCTGCTGAGCAATGACATGGCTACATGCAGGGTCCAAGCATGCCAAAGGCTAGAGCCCATTCCCAAGGCTCTTCCTTATAAACAGGAAGCAGACCACATCCCAAAGGCAACTACTCAACTGCTTGTGGTAGAGCCCACCATGGGGTTGATTGCCAGTCTCATCATAGGGAATAACTACCACCAGCTGCCCAGCCACTCAACCAGGCCCAGCCAAGTTGACACACAAACTGAACTACCACAGATATATAGTATATATTTCTTTGATATAGAA